CTCAATAGTGATTGTAGGTATAAATCAGTAGTAATTCCGCATCTGACTGCGTATTGTGCAATTATTCAGTTGTTTGCATTCAATATAAATATTTATAAGTCGATCCATATATTATATGGTGTTGATAGATATTTATGTAAGCCTTAGCCATTCTAGTACATGGATGAAAATTCAAATGCTCTGGCTGGCGGCCCTAGCTCATTGACAAAACTTTTGTCACATATGACCTTAACGATAAGTCAAAGATTCTAGTATTGGCGCACATAACGATGCCAAACCCTGACCCCAACCACAGAAAAAGATGGTGGGGTTTGAAGTTAAGTCACACTCACACATCTTCTAGACTAACAAAAAAAAGAGAACACTATTAGATTTATTTCATTTCTGGGTAACAATTTAAGTCCAAATTTCTTCTCCTACGTTTCAAATTTTGCAATCTATTTGCATAAAAAAAGTGATCTTTGCATCCTATTATCCCTTTGTTTGGCTGCTTAAGGTTGTCACTTCTAGAAGCAGTCAAACATTTGGAAAGGGAAGGTGCTTCCCGATAATACCCAAAGATTAAAAGGGTCAATTTTTTTTTTTTTAAATTTATATATCTTAATATAGGTATATTTGTGATTGCAACGTACTGCTAACACACTCATATGCAAAATTTGACGAGTTAATGAAGTTTTGTTTTTCGTCCGCTTGAAATGGATGAAGTTTCAGATAAAAAAAAAATGAAGTTTTTATTTTTATAACATCTTTTTATTTATTGTCCATAAATTTCTCTCATAAAACTAGAAAAAATAAACTATTAATAATTTTATATTTTTAACTATCATCTATGTTTTATAATTTATATATTATGCATATTTTTTTAATCTGATATTATTTTAATCATCAGAAACAAATTTTACTGATACAGAGACTCTACTAAAAAAACTACTTGTTCATGAGTTTATCTGGTAAGGGCCAGAAAAAATTATAAAAGATAGAATCCATACAAATTTTTGTTTGCTCAATGGCGTCTCTTCTGTCTAAGCAGAACACATTCATAAGAATATGAATAAATTTCATAATTTTTTTCTTCAGTGATTTAAGCACTTGTCATTCATCCAAACCTCATTTTGTATCCTTAAAAAAACCTAATTTATATATGATAGATTAGGTCCATCATCCATTTTAGACCCGAATTTAATTTCGGGTTGAAATCATGCAAACTTTTGGTCAGGTGGGTTTGGTTATGTGTTTTCCCAAACCAATATAATTTGACATATGATTTACACTATAGGCCATGACCCAACAATACGACTCAAAAAATGACATAAATATTGCGGGCTAGGATTGAAAAAAAAAAGAAATTCGAGTTATATTTGGGTTGAATGAAATTGACACAAAAAATATGAATTAATTTAGGTTTGAGTTTACCTAGCCCCAACATGATAATAAACCCGCACATTTTTTTTAAATATATATTTTACATCATATATTTTAGATTATGTTATAATAGTTGTTTTAAAAATTTTATGGTATTATTTGCTTAGTTTTGATGGGTGTTGTCATATTTTAGTGCGTTATGAATTTTAAGTTCTTTGTAATATAAAAGGCCTAAAAAAAGTATTTAGTTTTAGTGTCAGTCGTGAATTCACATGTCATTTTTGTATCGTGTTATACTATATAAACCCTTAAAGTGTCCATATCGTGTTTGTGTTGAGATTTTCACAAATTTTCGTTTCAGATTGTGTTTGGACTGGGTGAAAATTTAAGAAAAAACGATGATGACATAATTCATGAATTGTCACTCTTAATCTGACCCATAAAAATACAAAATAAAAAAATACATATTATCTATTTACAAAATAATCCTCGAAACTCCTCTCACGTGATTGACATGTGCCAGTTTTCCATATCTAAAGAGATCTTTTGATGTTTTTGGAACTTTATGAAGACAAATAATATGTTTTAAAATTGCCCAAATTTAGGAAAAATTCAAAAATTTGTCTTTAAGACTATTTATTTGTTTCGTGCCTTCAAAGAGTACACAACAAGTGGGATTAGAAGTAAAATGACTCCATATAAATCGACAATTAAATTTGTTAGAGGCCAATGATTGAATTAAGATGATTAGAGTTAGTATCGTGATCGTGGTAAGAATAAATCGATAGAAAAAATAAAGAGAGCAGAATACATAAATTTATAATGATTTTTTTATAACTCAGGGTACGTCCATTCTAAGGTTTTCAGATCTTCCACTATGAATATTGATGAAAATTACAACGGCATTATCCATAAATGCCGGAAGAATGCTATGAAAAATACTAAAAAGTATGTAAATACTATGGAAAATGCCTAAGAATACATGCAAAATGGTGTAGGCGTGAATTGATGCGTGAGAGAGTGAGCGCCTCCTTTTTGGACGCTTATGATATAAATTTATAGGCCTTAATATCTGAAAATATTATTTTGGGCAAGTTTTCCGTTTGACTTTTGATTGAGGATCCTCTAGGAGACTTTCCATGTAGAGAGAATGCTTAGAGAGAAAGCTAGGATGAAGATTGACTTTCCCTTTTACTATTTTGGGCAAGATCACACGAAATAATGCTGCTGGAAGGAGATGTCTTATGTTAATTATCGGATGTTGAGCTCGTAGCCTCGGACTGGTCGTCTGGGCATCTGACTCTGTTGACGGCTAGTGGTTCATTTCGGCCACCATTCTACTGACGGCTAGCGGCTCGTTTCGGCAGCCGATTTCGTGATTCAGTCCCATTGTACGAGACGTATAAAAACACGTATAAAATGAGAAATTATAAACCAAATTTGGCCTCAACAATATAACTATATATATATATATATACACACACACACATACATCCCAAATTAGGCAGAATTAGTGGAGTGCTTAGGTGAGCTACGTTAATGAGGACTACATAGGCGAGATTAGAATGAAAAATTTTCACATTATACCTGGTAAATTCTTCCATGATGCTCAAAATCTACAATCCATTAGATTGTAAAATAAAATAAAATAAAATATACTATCCACTACTATATCCTTTATATACTTTGATCAATGAAAATGCGCAGTCCACCAACAACTTAGTGCAGGTCACGTCATTAAACCTCAACAGATTAGGCTTGGTTAATCAAAGATTTGTATAGAATTGACATATTTAGTTAATCATAAGTTATGAGTATGAAGTCATCCTTATTAAAAGTAGGTTCTCAAAGGGATGTAAGCTACCACCAAGAAAGCAACTAAGAAATCAGTGGTTAAGACACATTTAACTATTGGCTTACAAAATGGAACAAAATAGATTACTAGTTTATTTACTACATATAAGGATAAATCGAGACTTTATGCAACAAACGAAATTTAATTGATAGACACACCAAAATTATCTTGGATTGAACCACTTTTTTGTCAGATTTAAGGGATTGAGAGTCAGAGAAATTGAAAAAATTGTGACACAGGTTGAACTAAGATATTGGAATTTTTGATCGAACATGATTTTTTGGTAACCAATTTAACACAATTTTCTGCAAGATGAGGAACATGTCAACAACTAACAAGTTGAGAGAGAGAGAGCAAAGGAGATGGAAGAGAACATAACATTCCCTTAAAAAAATGTATATCTCCACTTGATACGACCACGTTTACAACAAAGAAAAAAGACAAAAAAAGACAAAAAAAAGAAGGTTCATTGATGGCCCATTATGTTCATGCTTTTAAGTCAACAATTTTAATTCTGAGATAAAAATACTATAGTAAAATTAGAATTATAATTTTAAATGGGTAAATCAAATTGACCCTGAGTGATCAAAAAAAATAATCATTACGCTCCTTTATGGCATGTTTACCTCATTCTCCAAAGGGAAATTACATTTACCTCCAATATTTTATTTAAACACCTTTAAATAAATAAGTTTTATTAAAAAATTGAAATATTTACTTTTTAATACTGAAATTTCATATAATATTTACTTTTTAATACTGAAATTTCATATAATTCCTCAAATATCCTTATATACACCCATCACTTTTCTCATATCACACTAGGTCATATCCCATGTTTTGCGACACTAATTTTTCGTTTTGTTGAAAAGGATTTTACTTTTCATTCAAAGGATTTTAAATTATGTGGTTGTTGTGCATCCAACCTGCAAAAATATGATTAATAGTGTTAAGTAAAAAGAAAAACTCGATTGATCTAAGAAGGACTACAGCAACAATAAAAGAAAGATTAAAAAAATAAAGAGAACTACTGAACAGATAATGAGAAGAAAAATCAAAATAAGAGCCAATGTTAAAGAACAATTTCAATTGAAGGAGGCAAAACTCAATATGGAGTATGGACTATTGAATAATTACCGAGAACAAAAACCACCATTCCTAAGAGATTGAATGGAAAATTTTAAATTTTACAAAGCTATCCTCCAATCTCCATTGTTACAAGAAATTTTCAGAATATGAAGAATATCTCAAAATCATAACATGTGAAATTCAGAGAAAAAGTGCCTAAAGGAAAACGTTAGAAAGAAATTCTATTTACATTAAAACTCAATCAAAATTCATAATTATGGTGCTCCATTGCTTTGTAAAATTTTTTTTAAGAGAACCTGAAAAGAAAAAAGAACGATTTGTAGGAAAAAAGATTCCATAGACAAATATAGAGTGTACATAAGGGTATTTATGAAATTATATGAGATTTTAAGAAAATAATTGTAATTTTTAAATATATTGAGGTACTTTAATAAAAACTCGGGGTGTCAATAAAATTCTCTGCTCCGAGACTCCGCAGCAGTTAAAATCCGTTAAATTAAACCCGCGAAATGGAAGGTCCACTAGGCTTTAACTTTAACAACCGAGAAAGCCTAGAGCAGCAGTGCGAGGAGGATATATTCGGCATTTCGATTCATTCCAAGGACAATTACGTAAATATGAAGAAATTACAAATTAGCTCTTCCTATAAAAGTCTCTTGAAACCCTATCACTCATTTCACTGCTCTGGAGCCTCTCTCTCTCTCTCTCTCTCTTACAATCTTCTTTGTAGCGGCTAGGGTTTCAGTGCAGCTCTCTCCGAAGATTCGATCTTGGTTAGTAACTCTCTATTTCCCTGTTTTTCTAGCTTTTGATTCGATCAGTTATCAAACTTGTGAAACTCTTGCGTTTTTCGAACTTTTTTCTTTTTCCGCTTATTTTGAATTGCTTTGGATTTTCTATTTCTATGATGTAGTTTGCTGCTTTGATCTTGGATTTCAGATCAGTTAGGCGTTGAGAGATTGTTTTTTTAATTAATATTATTGATTTTGGAAATTGTTTCTGAATTAATGACGCTTTGGTTGTTAATCATGTATTTAAGTACTTGTTCGATCTTAATAAATTTTTTTTTATTGATTTTGGAAACCTTTTCTTCTTGTGAATGCATTTCAGGATCTTTCTTGCTATTTTTTCTCATCCGATCTAAGTTATTAGTTGTTTACTAAGTCATTTTGGTAAAATTTTACTGTTTGAAACTTGATATGTAATTTATTGATTCTGTTTTGCGTTTTATTATGCTTCATACTTTCGTTATCCCCTAATTACGAGTTATAATAAGTTATATTTGAAGGGAATTTTGGGAATAGCTTTCTGATGTTTGTTTGTGTTAATTATTTTATGGGTTTCAGAAAAAACTCCATAATGGGTAAGGAGAAGTTTCACATCAACATTGTGGTCATTGGACATGTCGATTCCGGGAAATCGACCACTACTGGCCATTTGATCTACAAGCTTGGAGGTATTGACAAGCGTGTGATCGAAAGGTTCGAGAAGGAGGCTGCTGAGATGAACAAGAGATCATTCAAGTACGCTTGGGTGCTTGACAAGCTCAAGGCTGAGCGTGAGCGTGGTATTACCATTGACATCGCCCTGTGGAAGTTCGAGACCAACAAGTACTACTGCACTGTTATTGATGCTCCTGGACACCGTGATTTCATTAAGAATATGATTACCGGAACTTCCCAAGCTGACTGTGCTGTCCTCATTATTGACTCTACAACTGGTGGTTTTGAGGCCGGCATCTCTAAGGATGGACAGACTCGTGAGCACGCACTCCTTGCCTTCACTCTTGGTGTCAAGCAAATGATTTGCTGCTGCAACAAGGTATATAAGAAACATCAAACTCCAATGCCTTTGTATTATGTTCTTGTAAAAATGTTTCTGTTGTTTTTAATTTGCTTGTATCTGTAAATGGTGTTGATTAATTTGTTCTATTGAATGTTGAGTAGATGGATGCTACTACCCCAAAGTACTCAAAGGCAAGGTATGATGAAATCGTGAAGGAAGTTTCTTCCTACCTGAAGAAGGTTGGTTACAACCCAGACAAGATTCCTTTTGTGCCCATCTCTGGTTTCGAAGGGGATAACATGATTGAGAGATCCACAAACCTTGACTGGTACAAGGGTCCAACCCTTCTTGAGGCTCTTGACTTGATCAATGAGCCTAAGAGGCCCACAGACAAGCCCCTTCGTCTCCCACTCCAGGATGTCTACAAGATTGGAGGCATTGGAACTGTTCCCGTGGGACGTGTGGAAACCGGTGTCCTCAAGCCCGGTATGGTTGTGACTTTTGGTCCCTCTGGATTGACCACTGAAGTTAAGTCTGTTGAGATGCACCACGAGGCTCTCCAGGAGGCTCTTCCTGGTGACAATGTTGGATTCAACGTGAAGAATGTTGCTGTTAAGGATCTCAAGCGTGGGTTTGTTGCCTCAAACTCTAAGGACGACCCAGCCAAGGAAGCAGCCAACTTCACCTCCCAAGTTATTATAATGAATCACCCTGGACAGATTGGAAATGGTTACGCCCCGGTTCTGGACTGCCACACCTCCCACATTGCTGTCAAGTTCTCTGAGATCCTCACCAAGATTGACAGGCGTTCTGGTAAGGAGCTTGAGAAGGAGCCCAAGTTTTTGAAGAATGGCGATGCTGGATTTGTTAAGATGATTCCCACCAAGCCCATGGTGGTGGAGACTTTCTCAGAGTACCCTCCATTGGGTCGTTTTGCGGTCAGGGACATGCGTCAAACTGTGGCTGTCGGTGTCATCAAGAGTGTGGAGAAGAAGGATCCTTCTGGGGCCAAGGTTACCAAGTCCGCTGCCAAGAAGGGTGGCAAGTGAATTGTGCTGTTCAATTGTGGTGAAAATGAGTACTGGGTTCTTGTTACTAGTATTTCAAATGAAGTCGTAGACGTGTTCTTTGTTGCTTATACTTACAAGTCTCCGCCGTCATCTTCTAGCTGTTCGCAGAACTGGGTGCTTGACAGACGGTGGCATGGCTTTGTGTCGGTCTCTTTTTTTTTTTTTTTATTCTATTTTCCTATCATTGCTATCCTTTGTTTCAAGTTGTGTTTCGATTTTGTTAAGCAGCTATGGAGTTTTTACTCTCTTCCTATGCTGCCGGATGTTTTCTACACTACACATTTATAATTCTATCTCATCCTTTGCGTGAGTTTCGTTTATTGTCTATTTCGTTTTAAATTTCCCAATTTATGATCCAGCTGATGATTGTAAATTATGGCTAATTGTGTAAGTTTTGCGCATAAGTATTAGTAACCATAATAAGGGTGTTTACGGAATCTTTAATTCGATTGATATGTGAAATTCAATTCAATCATAAGTTTTGAATTGAAATTTTGACAAACATATTAAAAATGCATGTTGTGTCAGGATTTTTACTCTTTACTATTGATTTATAATTTTTTTAATTAAATATTTATATTAACAAAAGAGTATTTATATTTATATTAACAAAAGAGTATTTATTAAGAGTAAATGGCAAAGTTCATATTCGTATATTTTAAAGGTAAATTTTTTATTTTTTCATTGAAAAAAGTTTTAGATTGGACAGGATTGAGATTTTTTTAATCTAAAAGTTTGGATCCGATTGCAGATTTTGAGTACATTTCAATCCCCAAAATTTGAGAATTCAAAACTATAGATGTATATAAATAAGTCTCGTTTATTTTACCGGTTTGAGTTTAGATTTTGAGTTTTGCTATAGTAAAAAGCTCTTAGAAACAGTCACATCTAACCTTTTTGTAATAGTAAAAAGTTTTCACATAAAATTACATCTCAATTCGAATCAACGAACTAAACAAACTCATAATTTATATGTATATATGTATATAATATTTTCAGTTTAGTTTTTTAATTTTTTTTTTTTTTAAATTAAAAGCTTAAGACTTTGTTGATTGGTCATTGTTAATTAGGTTGTAACAATTTAAACTTAATTGAGCAACTTTATATCATATAAATGATGAAGATTTCGATGCTGTGTTCTATTTTAGAGTCTCTACACATCACAAATAAAATTCATGATTTGCATCTTGAAACGATTAGGTAATGACACAAGAGGGTACTTTGCTTATGGATGCAAAAATACTAAAAACCAAACATTTTTTTCAATTTTCTTCTTCTTTAGAAGCACTGCAAACTGCATTCTCTTTTCTCTCTTGGCTCTTCCGTATGTATCATCCATCAAACTCTTAACATCAAAACGATTATCTGATTTTGAAGAAGTTTTTCTTGTTGCCAATTTGAAGTATTAAATTTCTCATACTGATTTGATACTTTTCTTTTCCCACTCCTATCTTCTGTTTCATGAAAATTGTTCCAAGAATAATTAATGTGAAAGGGGAAGAAGAATAGTAATGCGGCCATGTATACCTGCTTCCTTATATTCATGAAAAACTTTTAATGGAAAATAACAAATTCAACCAATCTCTCTTTTGCTCTACCCAAAAAAAAAAAAAAAAAAAAAAAAAAAAAATCGTTGTCAAGAAGAACGGGGAGACAAACTTTTGAAATTAGTTAAACGGCAAAAAATAAGGGGAAAAATAGAAGTAGAGTCAGAGATATCCAAGAAACTCAAAACGATACTTTTGTATTCCTTTTATTTCCTTCTATTAATTTCCATTAATTTGCTAAAGAATATAATCGCTGGTTGTGCCATTTTGGGGAGATAGTTAATGGGCTATGCGAATTTCTACCAAGATTGACTAGGTTGACCAAACAAAATTGTAAAGAACTTTGAATTTGGAGCAGACATTAAAGAATGAGGTTGGAAGAATCATACGAGGGAAAGGAGAGTAGGATGGTGAAGAAAAGAAAAGAATTAAGAAGTGTTTGTAAAAAGGAACTTTCTCTAATACGTCAACATGTCGGTGGATTAAGTTTTTTGTCCGTCAAATTTGTATAAAATCACATAAAAATTAAAAAGTATGCAGATCTAATGGTTATAAAAACTTGACATATCAGTAAGCCAGACGTACCAAAAAATTTCCTTAAAAAGAAATAGATAAATAAAAATAAAGAAAATGAAAATGGAAAAATATTGCAGTGTGGACTGTAGAGTTGCCAATCTCTTCCACATCACCTATTCGTGAAATTCGAGTTAAAATTTTTTGAGAAGTCTATTATTTTCCTTTATTTTATATAGATGTTTATTAATTTATAATTTTAAAGGTTGTAATTCAATCCTCAAAATCCGAAAAGGTTTTGAATTGGACACAGATTAAGATTTTTTCAATCCGAAAACTTTAGATCGGATACAAATTAACCTCTAATCTACAAATTCCAATCCGTGAACACAGTGGATGTTTCTACTGGTATGAAGCCAAGTGCACAGAACAATAAAATTAGAAAACTAGTATCAGTTTCCTTCTTTCCAACAAAAGAATGAGAATCCATGCATCATACATGGACAAAGGAGCTTGAACAGGGAAAATGTTATTAAAGTGCAAATGAAAGGTGAAGAATTTCTGAACTTATATAATTAAATCCTCTGTAACCCTACAATAGCATATATATATACACAAATGACTAATAAGGGAAAAACTAACTAGCTTGATTCTCTCCTAAAAATCAGGAAACAAAATTATGAGAAAAGATCACAACTGATCTCTCCTTTTATTCCTAAAATACTTTCCTAAACTAACTTCCCTAACTTTTGACTTCCGAATTCAACACTCCCCCTCAAGCTGGAGAATATATATCATATAACCCAAGCTTGCAAATTAAGTCTTCAAAGTTAGGTCTTGGTAGAGCTTTGGTGAGGATGTCTGCCGTTTGTTGCTTGGTAGGGATGTAGTTCAATTTAACTGTCTCACTAGTCACCTTCTCTGTGATGAAATGTCTGTCAATCTCAACGTGCTTAGTCCTGTCATGATGCACGGGATTCTTGGCTATGCTTATAGCTGCCTGATTATCACACATCATCAGAATAGGAAATGAACTCATTTGTCCCAGTTCACTTAGAACCCTTTTTATCCAAATCCCTTCACAAATTCCCTGTGCTAGTGCTCTGTACTCAGCTTCTGCACTACTTCTGGCTACCACTGATTGCTTCTTGCTCCTCCAGGTAACAAGATTGCCCCAGACAAAGGAACAATACCCAGACGTTGACCGTCTATCAATGAGGTTTCCTGCCCAATCTGCATCTGAATACACTTCAGTGTTACGGTTTTCTGTCTTTATGAAGAATAGGCCTTTCCCTGGGGTCATTTTTAAGTATCTAAGAACTCTGTAGACTGCTTCCATGTGTTCCTCTGTAGGGCTGTGCATGAATTGACTTACAACACTTACTGCAAAACCAATATCTGGCCGAGTGTGTGACAGATAGATCAAGCGTCCAACAAGACGCTGATATCTCCCCCTGTCTACTGGAGCACTTTCTTTCTCGGTGCCAAGTTTCTTTTGACTGTCCATAGGAGTATCAACTGGTTTGCATCCAAGCATACCGGTCTCCTTAAGAAGGTCCAAAATATATTTCCTTTGAGAAACTACAATACCTTTACTCGATCTAGCCACTTCCATTCCAAGGAAATATTTCAGATTTCCAAGGTCTTTAACTTCAAACTCTTCTGACAAATACTTCTTCAACTCCTGTAGTTCCTTCACATCATTCCCCGATAGAATAATATCATCGACATAGACTATCTGTGGAATTCCGAAGATATTAGGCAGTAATGGGCTGTAAATAGAAGATCTACTAGGCTGTAAATAGCTGTAGATTAGTTTCCATAACTAGCTAATTAGTTTTCCTTTTCTATAGGATTTGACGGAGTAAATCAAGGAATTACCAGCTATTGGTAATCTCCTCTTCTGTATAAATGTATGTTTCGGCTGATGAAATAAACTAAGAAAAATTCTCTCTCTGTTTTTCTTCATGGTATCAGAGCAAGGCTGCCTGGACCAGTTTTTTTTTAGTTCTGATGCAAACCAGAACACAGCTTAATCCCTTTTTCTGGTGAAACTTGAAACCATATTTACTCCTTCTTTTCCTCGGTTTCTAGGTGCAAACCTAGCATCCTCCTTCGTTCCAAATCAGTGTTCCATAAAGTCTCTTAGGCAGTAGTCCATCCTCTATGGCCTCAGAAACAAACAGGAGTGTCGTTGGAACTGTATCAGGCCAAGAAGAACTCGTGAGCAATGGTGGAGCAGAAAGTTCGTCTTTTCTCATCACAAGGCACAAGTTAACCGGCCACAACTACCGTCAATGGGCGAAGGCTGTTTTGATGTTCATTACAGGAAGAGGTAAGGATGAATACCTCTATAGCACCACAGAACTACCGAAGAAGGATGATAAGAAGTTCAAGGTGTGGAATACCGAGAACAATCTGGTTATGTCTTGGTTGATCAATGCAATGGACACAGAAATTGGTCAAAATTTTCTGTTTTATGATACTGCACATGAGATTTGGACAGCAGCAAAAGAAACCTACTCGGACAGCGACAATACCGCTGATCTGTTTGATATCAAGGGAGCTCTGCATGATCTAAGGCAAGGTGAGATGACTGTGACTCAATACTATAACACTCTTAGTCGTTTGTGGCAACAATTAGATGTGTTTGAGAATCTGGATTGGGAGTCCCCTGGGAGATGGAACATTTGTGTTTGTGGGCTGGACTGATAACGGCACAGGTGTGGATGAGTCAATGGGCACGGTTTGAGAAGGCCGTGGTGACTCTGAGTGAGACGAGGGTACTGACTCAAGAATAGACTCCCAAATTCACATTAGGAAGTTGTGGGGCTACAGATTGAACAGGCACGGGAGAAGACACATTTGTGGGCTGGACTGATAACGGCACAGGTGTGGATGAGTCAATGGGCACGGTTTGAGAAGGCCGTGGTGACTCTGAGTGAGACGAGGGTACTGACTCAAGAATAGACTCCCAAATTTGATGTTCATTCATGCTCTCCCCCTGAACACGAGATTTGGGATAGAAGAACACGTGTTCAAAGAAAGAAACATCCATGGTGGTGTAAAATCTTTTGCTTATTGGAGAATAACATTTGTACCCTTTTTGGGTTGGAGAGTATCCTAGGAAGATGCACTTATTGGCTCTAGGATCAAATTTGCTACGGTGTTGAGGATACACATGAACGAATGCTGTGCAACCAAATACTTTGGGTGGTAAATCAGATGAAACTGCACGGGTGTGAGGAAAATTTTCCAGAAGAAGCTGACGTGGAGATTGAAAGGTAAGGACTCTGTATGGCATGCGGTTAATCAAATAGGTAGCTGTGAGAATGGCTTCCCCCCAGAAATAGTTAGGAACATTAGACGAAAACATAAGACACCGGGCAACCTCCAAGAGATGTCTATTCTTGCGTTCAGCCACCCCGTTTTGTTGTGGGGGGTCAACACAAGAACTTAAGTGGATAATCCCGTGGTTCTGAAGGTAGGTATTGAGACTATTAGTAAAGTATTCCATAGCATTGTCTGATTTGAGTACCTGAATTCTAGAATTGAATTGATTTTGAACCATAAGATTGAAGGTGTGAAAAATTTGTCCAACTTCTGACTTTTCTTTCACAAGATAAACCCAAGTTACCCGTGTATGATCATCAACAAAGGTCACAAACCATCGAGTTCCAGAAACATTTTTTATACGTGAGGGTCCCCACACATCACTATGGATCAAAGAAAAAACAGTTGAAGGTTTGTATGGGATTTGAGGATATACTGTTCGAGTATGCTTTGCAATCTGACAAATTTCACAATGAAAAGATGCTGGATTTTTATTGATAAATAATTTGGGAAACAGTTTTGCAAGATACACAAAGCTAGGATGACCAAGACGATAGTGTAACAATATAATTTCACTATCTTTATTGACATTGGAATTTGACACAGAATTAAAAGACCCTAAAAGACTCTGAGACTGGACACAACTTGCTTGTGAGACTTGGTTTGAGGATCGGTCACATGAGAGGAGATAGAGCCCGGAGCACAGTTCAGCACTGCCAATCATCTTCCCTGATTTCAAGTCCTGAAAAATACACAAGTTTGGATAAAATTTAGTAACACATTGAAGGTCACAAGCCAATTTACTAATGGACAAAAGATTACAATCCAAGTTTGGAACATGGAGGACAGAGTCGAGATACAACTCTTTAGTAAGTTTGATGGAACCTGTCCCAGCGATTTTTGAATTTGAACCATCAGCTATATGGACGGACGAGTGACCACTACTTGGCTTGTAATTTTGGAGAAGGGCAGCATCTCCTGTCATGTGATCAGAAGCGCCTGTGTCTACTATCCATGGCCTCATTCCTCCATGGTTAGCAGTGAAGGCTGTATGCGGATCAGTTTGAGCAACCAAACCAGCCCCAGTAATGTTGCCACTGCCGACTTGACTAAACAGTTTCTGCAGTACATTCATCTGTTCTTTGTTGAATGGGCTAGGCTCGGGAACAGGAGCACTATCGGAATTGGAGGCCACATGTGCTTTGCTGTCTCTATCAAAGCAAGCCTCCTTGTAATGGCCTAGTTTCTTACAGTAATCACACCAAGGCCTTTCCCGTTTTTGACGATCTCCGCCATTATTGTTGAATGACCGAATAGCAAGGGCAGAGGCATCTAACGGTGAGGCATGTTGTTCCTTAGATCCCATCATCACTTTCTTTCTACTTTCTTCACGCCTAACCTCGGAGAAGGCCTCCCTGAGACTGGGCAGTGGTTTAGTGCCCATGATTCGACCCCGAACATCATCCAACTCCCTGTTAAGTCCTAGGAAAAACTTGAACAGCCTTTTTTGTTCCACAACCTGCCTGTACGTTGCTGCGTCGTCCGGACATTTCCATGAGTGAGTCTCGAATAAGTCAAGTTGCTGCCAATACCGTATGAGTGTGCTGTAATACTGAGTGACGGACTGCTCTCCTTGGCGGAAGTCATGAAGGGCTGATTCTACCTGAAATAGTTCTGAAGTATTTTCAGAACTGGAGTAAGTTTCTTTGGCTGCATCCCATATTTCTTTTGCAGTTCCAAACAGCAAGAAATTTTCACCTATGTCATTGTTCATGGAATTGATAAGCCATGACATGATCATACTATTTTCTATCTTCCACTTCTTGAAACCCGAATCAGTAGTCTCTGGCATGGCTGCTTCTCCTGTGAGATATTCATCTTTTCCCTTGCCACAGATGAACAGCAACACAGATTGTGACCACTGTAAGTAATTATGGCCATTTAATTTGTGTCCTGTGATGAGAATAGGAGAAGATTCGCTGCCACCAAGGTTTGGAATCTCTGATCTTCCTCCTGATTCTGGGGTCGTGACACGGGATGTTTGTGATGATGCCATTCCGTATTTTGTCATGTCTCAAATATTGAGGAAAAGATGAGAGGAAAGACTAAATATGGATGCTGGAAATATATAAGAGAAACCGGAGATAATTGGCCTGAGAACAACGAAGAGGTGGCCAGAAAACTTGGCAAGAGGTGGCCGGAATAAGAGATGGCCAGAGAGAGATGGCCGGAATGAGAGATGACCAGAGAGAGATATGGCCGGAAGGGATTAGGGTTCAGAAAACTGGCTCTGATACCATGAAGAATTTCTAAACTTATATAATTAAATCCTCTGTAACCCTACAATAGCATATATATATACACAAATGACTAATAAGGGAAAAACTAACTAGCTTGATTCTCTCCTAAAAATCAGGAAACAAAATTATGAGAAAAGATCACAACCGATCTCTCCTTTTATTCCTAAAATACTTTCCTAAACTAACTTCCCTAACTTTTGACTTCCGAATTCAACAAAAGGTAAAAGGGTGTTAGGTACCTGCCCTATCTAGCCAAACTGCCCTAAAACAAGACTCAGTTCCACAGAATAATAAGAGAAAATTAACAGAAATGGAATCAGAGCTATTTTATTGATCAACTTCACTCCAACTACCACACAGCACAATCAAAAGCAAGGAAATTAAAGGGAAGTCTGAGTATTCAAGGATTCTGGAGAACTCTATGAACGGACACTAAACCGAGCAAATCAACGAAAAATCAGCCTAATTCCTACCAGCAAATATTTGCCTATATTAAACCCTCTGATTCACTAAACAGCCCCTGGATTCTCTCACTTCAGCCACTATTTTCTTCATTAATTACATTCGAGCTCCTCTCTCTCTTTTTTTCTGCCACTTTTGCCCCTTCTCTCATAAACCTTGCTCAGTGAGGGCCTAACAAAGGGCAAGAAACGTAAAGTTTTCTTGTTTTTTTATTTTTATTTTTATTGTCATTATATATATATATATATATTTTTTTTTTTTGTTTTTGTTTTTGTGAAGTCCTTGTACATGCTGGCAGGAAAGCTTCCATTTGATAACAGAAAAATCAGCTATGGTTAATTCTATTATGGCTGTTTGATGGTGTCGGTTCCATATTACAATACTCTTCATAGTTGAACCAGAAGCAAACAGTAAAACTAATGTAAAGAACTTGTCAAGGGACAAAGAAAACTGTATTCAGCATGTGCAAAATGAGTTAACGGGTATAGTTCCTCAAAGAACTCAGTAATGACAACACTAAGAATTAGCAACAAAATGCAAATTTCATTGACCACATCATCCATGGACATGTAATCTCACACTATTTGTTTCATTATTGATTCCCAAACTTCAAGTCCATTACCAAAACTCTTGAAAAGCAAAAATGCCAGCCAAGGCTCGGACAGAACCCCCCTTGGCAACTTGCATCAGCAGCAGCAACAAAAGATCACAAATTTTTAAAAGCTGAGTCATGAGTTGCTTTCTTAGGGGTCAATCTCGCCAACAAGGCCTTGTTATGACAGTGCTCTGTGTCAACAAAGTAGAAGTTTCCATTGGCCTTAAAGGTCACAAATGGTCTATTGGTCTCTGGCGGCCTAATATCAGAAAACTTGATGGTCCTAGGAATGTAAGTTGCCAACCACGACATCATCTCCACCTCGAAGCTGTCCGAGCCGGGCTTCCACTTCAGCTTGTGAATGTAGGGGCTCACAAACCAGTGAAGGGCAGCAGTGGTGGTGGCACTCAAGAATATGACAGAAGAAGCCACTGCACCCTTGAGGATCACGTTCATGTCAGGTGATGTCATGAAGGTTATGACCGGGCCTAAAGATACAGAGAGACAGCAGGTTGACAGGGAGAGAAGCTTAACTTTCTTTACGGTGGAAGAGATTGGTCCATAGTAAACAATCCCGGAGTCTTTCTCATCTTCCTCGCCCTCTCGAACTTTTCGTGGGCCAATGCTTATCTTGCTGTCGTCTTCAGCTGTTGAGGCCCGTGAAGCCCACCTTCTCTGGGAAACATTGATATGGAGGCTGGAACTGAATGTGGATCGGGTATTCAGGTGGTTTGCCCATGTTCCAGTCCTACGAAGATGACTTCCTGGCATGCAGGAGAATGTTATGACAAGATCAATAGTATTAAAATCGTGCACATAGAAATATGCTTTTTCAATGTGCAGCGATGGAAGGAGAGATCAAGAAAAATTTTAAAGTGCGGTTCTGAAGAAAAATAAATGCTCTTGGGGGTTGTATACTAGCATATAACATAATAGGAGAAAAAAAGGAAAAGAATTTGTGAAAATCAGTTAAAGGGTTCAAAAGTATGTACGATCGGCAAGATCTAAAAAAACGTGCTTTCTCATCAATAACAGGTTAAAATTATACGTCGTGTTGAGAAATGGATAAAACTGAGAAGAAAATACAAAATCTCCATTTGAGATTCTCCTTGTTGAGATCCCACAATACCATGATGAATTCAAACAAAACAAAGAGGTAACAAAAAGAGTGATATTAACATTTCTCACCTGAGTAATACCTGAATTGAGTCTTTTTTATAACAAGTTCACAATAACTTCTAAATTTAGGACACAAGTTATGGTATACAGGTTCGGAAAAGAATCACAATGAAGTGTCGGGACCTAAATCAAGTGAGGTGTGTTAAGGATAATACGGATTAGGTTCTGACAAAAGATAAAGACATTAGGGAAAGGTGGAGGAGTTACTTTGAGAAGCTTTATAATGATGATCATGCGATAGAGTTTGACGATCTTAGGTCACAAGGAGAACTTAATGTGATGTATACAAGAGGAATCAGAGTCTCGAAAGTTAAAACTGCACTACGAAAAATGAAAAAGGGGAAGGCATGTGGGTCAGATGATAATCTAATAGAGGTTTGGATAACGTTAGGAGATATTGGAATTGTGTGGCTCACTAAACCTTTTAATGAGATACTAAAGAAGAAGCATATGCCTGATGCATGGAGGAAAAATATTCTTGTCCCCATCTTCAAGAATAAAAGAGATGTGTTGAATTGTAACAATTATAGGAGCATCAAGTTAATAAGCCACACTATGAAACTTTGGGAGAGAGTTATTAAAAGGAGATTAAGAGCCACAACTACCATCTCAGGTAACCAATTTTGCTTCATGCTAGGCAGATCAACCACGGAAGCCATTTTTCTTCTTAGGATGCTGATGGAAAGGTACAGAGAAACTAAAACGGAGCTACATATGGTCTTTATAGATTTAGAAAAGACATATGATAGGGTGCCGAGAGAAATTTTATGGTGGGTGCTAGAAAAGAGAGGAGTGCATGTGAGGTATATCAAGGTAATTAAGGACATGTACGATGGGCTGGTCATGAGTGTGAGAACTGCTAGAGGCTACACGGCAGTGTTCCCCATTCGGATCGGCCTTCATCAAGAATCTGCTCTTAATCCTTATCTTTTCACCATCATTATGGATGAGCAGACAAGAGAAATCTAAGATAGAGTTCCTTGGTGTATGCTTTTTAAGGACGATATAGTTTTAGTTGATGAACATAGAGAATGAGTTAACCGTAAGTTAGAACTGTGAAAACAGACTCTCGAGACGAAGGGATTTAAGTTAAGTAAGAGGAAAACTGAATACATGCATTGCAGGTTTAGTAACTCAAGTAATCAGAGTGATGGAATTTATTTAGATGGTGTGGAGATTGAGGCTTTTAGAAAGTTTAAGTACCTTGAGTCTATAGTGCAGTACGAAGGAGATATAGAAGATGATATTCAACATAGGATTAAGGCATGGTGGGTTAAGTAGAAGAATGCTACGGGAGTTTTATGTGATGGCAAGATGTCTATTAAGTTGAAAGAAAAGTTCTATAGAATTGTAATCCGCCTAGCTATGTTATATGATAGTGAATGTTGGACCATTAAGAGACAACATATATATATAAGATGAGTGTGACAGAAATGCGTATGTTAAGATGGATGAATGACTATACGAGAATTAATCGTATCATGAATGAAGTTATTCGTAGTAAAGTAGGTGTAGCACCAATCGAAGATAAGGTATGTGAAGACCGCTTGAGGTGGTATGGGTATGTCTAACGTAGACCGCTAGAAGTACCAGTTCGTGCTTGGGAGGACATTCTTATACCTAATACTAGGAGAGAGAGGGGTAGACCAATAATTATGTAGACCGAAGTAGTTAAGAAAGACATTCTAGATCTAGACTTTCAAGAAAGTTTAATTTCGAACATAGCTACATGAAAAAGTGAAATCCATATATAGCCGACCCCATTTGTTTGTTGTTTGTTCACAATAACTTCCAAATAATAATATGTGCGAGTCGCATCCACTTGTTACAACTTACATTGGAATGTAAATATGAAACTCTCAATTGAAAATGAGACACAGAGTAAAGACACAAAATAAGAGCCTCACTCCAAGAACTCCCCCCATTAAAAAAAAAAAAAAGAAAAAAAAAGACACCCAATAGTTTGAACTCTTGATACACCTTTTCTCTACAAAATTGGCCCAAATTCATAAACATATTCAGAAATAAATTATTATTATTATTATTGTTGTTGTTTCCAAAATTCTGTGACCCAAAGAATCTAACAAAATGTACGTAAAAGAGAGAAAAAAAAAAAGAGAATAAGACAATCGAAAAGAAAGAAAGAGAATAATAATAATTCTGATAACTCCGTAAGACAATCGAAAATTTGTCCCCTTTTCAAATCAGACAAGAATCGAAAACCAGAAAGATCTAGTTGACGGATTAAGAGAATAGCTAAAGATGTTAAATTAGGAAGCACACGAACTTAAGCTGTTTGCAGACATTATTCGCCAAAAAAAAAACAAAAAAACAAAAAAAAACAAAACGAAGAAGAGATGGAGAAAAATGGGAAATGAGGAGAAGAAGAAGAAGAACCTGAGGAGAAAGTGGAAGAACGGAGCTGCCTGGACTGAGATCTCAGTAACTGAAAGAGAACGCGTCTTCCCATTTTCCTTCCCTTTTCTCTGATTATACTTCTACTTCCTATACTATTCCCTTCTACCGAGGGTTTTAGGCTTGGGACTTTTGGGAGGTTTGTTTGTTCGATCTCAAACAGTTAAAATTATAATAAATTTAATAATATGGTTCCTTTAACAATAAATCTACTGCCCGGTCTAGTGGTATGATTATCGCTTCAGGTTGGAGAAGTCCCGAGTTCTATTCTTGGAATGCCCACGAAAATTTTCAATTTTGTCGTGTCTTTTTGGGTTCAGCCCATTGGGTTTTTGGGAGCCTGTTCGGCTTATTGGCCCATTTTTGCCGTGGTGTAAATTTTAGTTTTTTACTACTAATTTTGACCTCCTTTTTCAGTCTTCGGCTTTTGTTAGTTATTTATTTATTTATTTTTGTTGGGTTTTTGGATTTGTTCACATATTTTACCAAGAGTTCTAGAAAGTCGTACCTAGATTAAGCAAGAAGGAATGGGACTTAAAAACTTTCCAAGCAAGTTACTCCTTCAAAATTAAAATTCACTCGTCAGCTCTTCTAGAGTCATAGTAACAAAAAATAAACATCAAACCGAGTCAAACCACATGAAACCACCTCTCTGGCTCTCTTTAGGCAGTCAATACGATCCTCTCCATTTTATTTTATTTTTTAAACAAACTCCTTCTAGAAAACATTATTTTGTTTAACTTTTTCCAATTGAAGCATCCAATTTCTCCTTAGCTAGACGTATATATATAGATGGTATCTTCGGCAACAAATCAATATCCACATCACCACATATTTCTTCCAACTTCTTCTTCTTCTTCTGATCTGCTCTTTCTAAGGTACAAAAAGCCATATTATTTATATGGAAATGGCACATAAGTACTACTTAACCAATTCAGTTAATTTAATCCAAGCAACCCCAGAAATGGACCATTGTCAAGAAGAACCAGAAAACGGCGACGACGCGGTTTCTCTCTGCGATCTCCCACTCCACGACGGAGACGAAAACGATGTCATCGACAAACAAGATCGTGATTTCTCTAGTACTCCTTCTGATTTCGAATTCTCTTTCGCCAAAAGTACTCTTCATAATACAGACGCCGATATTCTCTTCTTCGGAAAATCCATTCCCTCCAGAAACCCTCAAACGACGTCGTCTTACAGTCGCAACAATATGCTTCATCAGAAAAAAGCCTCTCGCTTCCAAGTCAGCACCGGTACTACTGCTCCTCCTCCTCTTCCTCGTTCCAGCTCCGTCCGGCTACCGGAGACCAGGAAATGCCGGTACCTGCAGCCGAATGGTATGAGTAGTGGGAAACAATACAACGTTTTCATTGGCTTTGCCGCTAAGTTTGATCCGCCGCGGATGGAGCTCGGGGAGATGAGGAAACGACAGGGTCGGAAAGCTCCGTCACCGATGTTTGCGAGTTTTGGCGGCGAGCAACCGGTTGTAGCCGGTGGCAAGGGAGGAGCTGGAAAAGGGCACGGGGGCTTGGTTAGACCGTTGAGGTTTAGGCCCAACCTTGCGAGCGCCTTGACTAGAATTTCTTTTGGTTGTATACGACAATATGTTTGAGATTATGGTTGGATCATTTTTTTCACGTGAGGGTCACGTGCTATTGTTTCAGTCTTTATTTTCGTACATATAATATGAAATAAAATATCACTCAAAAAATATTGTTATAATTTCACGCAAAATACAGGAATTATTAACTCAAACTGATGAGTACTATATTCTAGCGCATAGTACTATACGCGCATTTGTTGGTCTAAACTTGACTGCTTGTTACGAAACAAAAAGATCTAGTCAAACAATTGAATTGAATTAAAATGAAAATAAAAAATAAAAAACATGTACAAACCTATTTTATAGCAAAAAAAAAAGAAAGAAAGAAAACATCATACTCATCAACTAATTAATCGCCTAACAAGCCAAACGCTTCTGGGAAACAAGAAGAAAAAAGAAACCTATGCGCAGGTTTTAATTATTACAATATGGGAATTGTTTATTGTGGAAAACAATATTATAATTTGTCATATGTACAGCTCAATATTACTAATACGAAAGAGGAATTCCAGCAAAAGAGTAATAATAATAAGAAAAACAAATGAATACATTATATTATTACAAAATTACTAAGCGGATTGATATTCTGCAAGTTTATCTTGTTGCTAAACGAGAGTAAGTAATCATCCATATTCTGTCATGTTAATCTTTCCAAAAAAAAAAAATGAATAATGAGACAAGAGAATTTTAGGAATTTTCTGAGAAAGAATTCTCAATTCTTCATTAATGAATCAACTGTACAAAGCTATCTAAACATAGCTCTACAACTAGCTAAGCTGACCAGGAAATATACACACACATCATACTTAGGCTATAACGCAAAGTTTCCCTAATTAAATGATCTCGTCATAAAAACAATAGTCAAGTTGTTGGGGATATCTTCCTTCACTGTTCCACAATTATATGCAAATTTAAAAAGCAAATTTATTTCTACTCTCGGCTGTAGCCCGTATGTATACAACTTTTTCTTGCAATTTTGCTTAGCTAAAGTAGAAAAGGCCAATCTTCCAGTAAACCATCAAATTCCAATTCCTTCATTCCTTAATACATACTCTTTCTATCTCTTCTTTATATATATATATAT